TGTTGCTTATAGCTTAAAAACGGCTTGCCATCTAATGGCTGGCAAAGATGTGTTGTATGAGGAAGGAATCCAAAGGCTATAATGCCATTATCTTCACACATTTGCAGGAATTCAACGGTAAGATGGGAGCCATGGCGATCGAAGATAAGTATCCGTTTCTCTCCCCTCTTTGTACGTTCATTTGTTGCCTTAATAAAGCTTTGAAGCCATTGAACAGCTAGTTCATCTGATATCCAGCCGTTGGGAGACGTCGCTATTGTTGTATTTGATGGTAAAGCCTCGCTATCGTTGAACCAGCACTCCATGGAGATGCCACTGCCTTTGAAGATAAACCATGGATCCATTTGCCAACCATCTGCAGCTACGCATTCGATAGCTGTGATATTCTCTCCTCTTTCAGATTCAGCAAGATCAGGGACACTTTGTGAACCAATGACCTTCCTAGATCTGCCTTCGCCAGGCTGGAAGCCGCATTCATCGAAGTTATAGACTAACCGCGATGGGGCATTCTTAACCACTGCTGCAAGCTGATTATACCAGTGTCCTAATAGCCCTGCATCTTCAGCCTTGATACGCTTTGATTCTTTTGTCTTTTGCTTCACTGGGTTTAACTTGAGGTGTTCTGGGAGCCGTTCCTCAAACCGATATACCCACATCTTGCTGACCTGTCTAGATTCCCCAGCGCGTCGAAGTGCCTGATTTGCATACTCTTCTAGTAGCCTAGGTGTCACCGGCATGTTCCAATCGCGCATACGACCAATCCACTGTATTAGAGCTTCCTCCTGATACCCCTGAAGGGCCTTATTGACTGGTTTGCGAGCCGTACGAGGTTGACTACCCTTTTTGACGCGATCACGTAGAGTTGTAGAAGGAACGCCATATTCACGCGCAATCTTGGAAAAATTCGGATTTTTTTTGGCTCGAACGGCTTCGCAGGCCTTGATCATGCAGGATTCATCAGATTTAGTACACTTAGGCATATCGGATGGTGGGAATAGCTTCAAAAGAATTATAGTAAGTGGTTTCGATGGAATCTACGGTTACGGTGTGGATGAGCCTAAGGCAGGGATACTGACTACTGAGTTCCAGAATTAGTTAGACCTGCGGAACAGAAGGTGGCCGATCCACCAATCCAGACGCAGAACAAATGCCCAGTCAAACTCATTACAATCGCAATATTAATCGTGGATTGCTAGCGGTTCAAACTTTCACGTGTCTTCTCAAGATACCTAAGCGGGTCCTGGACACCCCAGTCAGCCGTCAGTGACCCTACCCTATCCGCTTGGCTAGGTCGCTCAAACCTTCTCCGCGAAGCGCGAAACCTCTCAGCTGCCAGGACTTCTCAGGCCATGAAGCTAAGGAGCAATCAAATTGGATTTACAATATGTCCTACAACCTCAGATATATAATGCAAATGCTGATATCTAGACGCATTGGCTATTCCAAGTCGAAAGATCTCTCAAATTGCCGGCGGACTTCAAGTTGTCGACGCCGATTCTCGTATCCTAATACCCAGCCAGAAACCATTCCCTTTATTCACTATTAATACGGAAGAGATTTTGTGGCCTGCGAGTATGAAAAAACCCGCAACATATGTAGAGACATGGACGCATAACAATCAACGAGGTACCTACCTACTTAATGTACCTGAGCCTCCTGAGGTACCCCTGACCGGAGCTCGATTTGAGCCAATCACAGGTAGCTCCGCTAGACTTCGCATCTATTGGGAAAGCAGTATAATTGGCCGAAGATTATCAGATAGTGGGGCCTTAATCCAGATGAGCAACTGTCAGCCAATAAAACTTACATCCTGTCATTAAATACTTCGAGATTGATGGCCAATAGTTGCAATTCCATCCTTTGATTGTTGCTTCTTGATGTCCACGAGTCCTTCAAAACCGACATCTAGTATTACTAGCTGACCCAAAGCCATGACAAATATGAACCATAGCGGCCTCGTAAACAGCAGCCGATCTTGGCGATTCTGAGCCATCCTCATGGCGACGCTCTTGTGGATAAACTCCAAAGGTATGATCCTGAGAATCCATAAAGTTATGAACTAGTGTAGTTCTAGCAATAGTCTGTTATAATAATCATGACCTTATGTATGTCCAATGTTATATTCATGTCTCCAGCATGCTCCATGTCTACTAATGAGCTCATTCCAGTCATTCATCGCACAGAAGACTCTATAGTTGGTCTTTCTCATTTGCGCTTGGACTCATAAGTCTCCCGGCAGCATGGTGTCCCTTGGTTAGCACACCCTCTCCTTGCTTTGCTAGCCTTCAGACAAATAAGTCTAATGGTCCACTTTCCTATGATTTTTTAGTCCGGGATATGCAGCTATGGTCCTGCAATGCCTTAAAACCTGAGCTTTATGAAAGACAAATTCCCTGGGCCGTTCCCACGTCGTCATGGTGGCCTTGGATGTTCCGCCGGAAGCCGAAACCTCACTATGCTAACTCCGTACTAATACGGCGATCCTTCGGCATCACCTTCGATAGTTTGCGCTCGTCAACTCCGGTGGTGGCTGATGGAATCCTACACCATCGCAGCTTCCATTCCTACAGCTGTCGCCATCTTCTGCTGTGCCAGCTTTTCTCTGTTGAACACCTAATGACTTGCTGTAGAGCCACCAGGTAAGATATATACTACATACCGTTCCTATCTATCATGTATTGTCACAGTGAGGCGCTGAGGATGAAAGGTAAGTACGGGGTATGCTTTTAAGGCTACGGAATAATGAGACGGATGCAGATGCAACAGAAAGATACTTTAGACTTTGGCGGAGTTGTTTGAGGGGGAAGAGATCTAGGGGTAAAATGAAAAGCATCTAACACTCCTCCATCCACTAGAAAGCCGTCCTATGTTTGTGTTCCACAGTTGTGGTTAATATCTGGCAGTTATTGATATTAATCATCATTTGTCTTCCTTACCTACCTTGTACATCTCACAGTCCATCATTCTAGAAAGAGCAAGAAATTCACGCCAAATCTGAGATAAGACGGAGTAAGTGGATATAATTATCTTTGGTCGAGAAGAATAATGACCGAACATGCCCATCAACGCAGGATTTCTCAGAAAGCAAAAGCACTGCTCACTCCGCAGTATGATGTTGACAACATACCACCCAGAGATTAAGATGTAGTATTCGGACTGGATTGTTCCTGAGTCAAGAGGTCAATCCATGGTTGTTAGTGGTAACAGTTACACTGGCCCTTCTATGACAGGATCAAGCCAAACAACATCCGGTCCGGCTGCACGTGTCCACCGTCTCACTGATGAATGCTGGTGCTTAGTGCTCAACAACCGACACAGTAGGAGTTACCGAATAATGAGTGAGATATCAGCTCTTGACTTTCTTCCGACAGAGCTGTACGAATCGTATAATCATCTGCTCGTACGACGTATCAGCATCTGGGCTTCTAAATATGTGTTTGCTGGCCCCGCATTCCAGTCAGAGGAGCTCGCTGCAACTCATCCATGATGGGACAACCCCAGCACGTGAAACAATCGAATGTACAATCAATTCTGGCAAGTTATGATTAGACGCCCTTTCGAAACCTGCCTGAAAACTTAACCAGGATCCGTAGTCTACTTGAAACCGGGGATCGTCGCATCTCAACCACTGACTTGAAGACTTCGAGGACATCCTCGTGTTCGTTGAGTACTATGTATTCTGTCCAATCACCTGCAAACAAATTGACTAACTAGACGCATGCTAGCACGCCAAGTCTTTTCTGCAGATTAGCGCAGAGGTACTCCCCTGTCAATCTGGATCGCAATGACGCGGCTTGGGAGAACTGAGGAATACCCATAAGCATCACTACCATCGCATACAGGCATACTTCAGTGCGCACTCCTGAGGCTGAGAAACGAACAGATTCAAACTGAAAGATCAAAAGGTAACCTAACTATCTGAGTCATGAAGCGTCCAGTTCGATCTCAAGATCCAGAACGCTCCGTAGATGGTGGAGCCTGCAATCTTCACGAGAAGAGGGCAGAGTCTACGTAGCTACGAAGCTGATCATCGCCGGAAACGGCCAACGCCATACCAAATTCACGCTGACCCCAGGCAAAATACAACCCCTTCAATCAGGATTTCATCCTTTCTATACAATTCCTTATCATGAAGTTCCTTCAGGACGCTATCTCCTGCCGATCCAGGAGACCGACATCATCGTGTCATGGCAGGGGAGCAATTTTGGCCGGGGAGTCGATCCGCTTCCCATTGCGGTAATGGTGTATAGATGACCAGAAAAGAGAGCATAAAAGGCCGTGTACTCCGTATCTCTTCAATTCTTGTGTTTTTGTGTGCTATAAAAGTACAAATTGGAGTGGTACAAGGGAAGACTTAATCCAAATAAGCTACCACTATCCGTACAGCCAATACACACTAATACACGTACTCCCGAGCATATCGTCGTCATCCTCTGATCCTTATCGGCCTATTCCACGCCAAAGGTCGGACGCCACCAGTTTTTAACGGCCGTCCTACTTACACGGCTCCACCAGTTTTTTCACCTAGTCCATATTATTTTTCCCAAGCTTCCTTTCTCTCCCTTTTTCCCTTATTTTCCCTTCTTCCTTGATCTGCACATATTCTTCTGCTTAGTTGTACATTGTGTTCAACTCTTTGTGTGTTTGCTAGTTGCTGTCACTGACCTCATTCATCCCTGGGAGTGACGAATTTCTTCGGGACTGTCTTCCACTCCCGTTGTCTCCGAGTGTACCGATTCTGATCGCGCAAGCCCCCTCGCACAATACTTCATACTGTCCTATAATAGGCGCAGATATGTCTGGCCGACACTGAATTGAGTTGATCTCGGATCTTTCCTCTCCTCCTTATCCGAATACTCAGCTCCTGCATTGATCGTTTGCGGAGCCTGTGGAGAAGCTCGTGGCGACCCCTGGAGGAGATCTAGATCTATCTTCACAACTCATCTATCCAATCGATTCCCGTCGCGCTACTGTGATTTTTTTTTTTTTTGCGCGCAACAATGCTCACCTTCAGGAAGTCGCTAATTGCGGCCGTCGTTTTGATTACATTCGTCGTCCTCCTTCGATCCGCACATTCCTCACCATCCGCCGAACCTGCCGTTCTCAACACGGAAACCACTACGCACGACTCCAGTCAAGCAGCAGATGAACATCTTACGAATCAGAAACAGGATATACAACAGCAGCCGTTGAAGCCACCGCCCACTGCGCCCTTGCGCGAACGGCTCCGTTACCAATTCCTCTACGATCTCGAAAGCAGATTCCCCGCGTACATCTGGCAGACATGGAAGTACACACCAGCATCCATGTGGTTTTCTGAAGACCTTCGGCCCGCTGAAGCGAGTTGGACAGAACTACACCCGGGATTTGTTCATGAAGTGATTCCGGACGACACGCAGCGACATCTCGTCAAGTACCTCTACGGCTCGGTCCCGGAGGTGTTCGAGGCATACGATTCTATGCCGCTGCCCGTCCTGAAGGCTGATTTCTTTCGGTACTTGATTCTGCTGGCGCGTGGAGGCATCTACAGTGACATCGATACCTACGCGCTCAAGCCCGCCGCCGACTGGCTGCCTGGGGAGCTGGATCTCGCCACGGTCGGTTTCGTGATCGGAATAGAGGCCGACCCCGACCGGCCTGATTGGCACGACTGGTATTCACGCCGGATCCAATTTTGTCAGTGGACCATCCAGGCCAAGCCTGGGCACCCGATCCTCCGCGATATTGTCGCATACATTACCGAGGAGGCGCTGCGAATGAAGAAAAAGGGAATCCTCAAGGAAGGAAAGATGGATAAGACTATCGTGGAGTTCACTGGGCCCGCTGCCTGGACGGACGCCGTATTTAGATATTTCAACAACCCGGAATACTTCAGCATCGAACCGGGGTCGACTCACAACGTCACATACGAGGATTTTACCAACCAACGGGACTATAAAAAGGTCGGTGACGTCGTGGTCCTGCCAATTACCAGTTTCAGTCCTGGTGTCGGTCAGATGGGAGCGGGCGATCTGGATGACCCCATGGCGTTTGTGAAACACGACTTTAGTGGTACGCTTTTCTTACATGCTGCTGCACTAGAGACAATCTTAACTGACTTTATTCATCAGGATCATGGAAGACAGACCCGGCTCTCTAAACGTCGGCTGTACGGCATCATCATGTCATTGGTTGCAACCACCCTTACCTGAGACTTGTCAGGCCTGTGGACAAGCGGAACTAACCCCGGCTCCTGGGCCCGAGCGAAGCTCGCACTGAAGCGTCAGGAACCCTACTTACCCTGCGCGGGGCCTGGTGTCACTTCGATACTTACCACGACCGAGTCCACTGAACATATCTGGACACAATGCTTTCCATCAACAGCACCTTAATGAGCCTACTCTCAATGACGAGATGTCACCCGAGATCTCCCAATCCGGCGCGGTTGTGGGATCTTACCATTTCGGATGCGTGCATGTCAGCCTTGGAAAGTACAGATTCAACCTAGAGGCGTGGCATGGGTTTCTACAACGGAGTCCAAACCACAGCGCTGCCTGTCACTTTTACGGACCGCATATGTGTTCCATCTAGAACAAGGAGAAGAGCGGAAGTATTCGGTGGCACTCTCCTTACCATGTTTAATTCGACTGGGTGATAGCATGGCATTGACCACCCGTGAGTCTTTTTCGGTCAGCAAGCTTACTACCTGGCCGTTCCTCTACTATTCATGAACAAATCATACGTTGCATATACAGCATATCAAATATACTATGTAATCAGAGGAATGAGGAATTGTCCTTGTATTTCCCTAGTGCATTCAATGGCAGAGATCATTAGAGGAATGGTTGCATGTACAAGATGCTGCAAATAGCTGTAGCCATATATTCAACCAGCCCAGTTTATGTTGAATTCTTCACCCATCCCGCCTTCATCAGCCTGTGGGTATTACATTCCAGAAATCAGAAAATATAGACCGGATGATGCGACAGATAGACACGCAAACCAAGTTGACAAAGTCCCAATGAGAGACATGAGATATATATTATATAGACAATGATTGCAGATTGCATTGTACACCATGACACATGCAGAGAAGAAAAGGAAAGAAAAGGACGGATTATGCGTCATCAATAACCTTGACATGTCAATCGAGAAATGAAGGCAGCACTGCGCTGTCTCTTTATATATAGTTGTATGGATTGGTGGGCGGCTGCAGGCCTTATGGACTGTTGCAGAACGATAATACAAAAATTCGTAACGTCGTGGCAGGAGCATTCCGTATCAGCGTAAACGGTCGTGGCGGACATCCTGACTTTTTACAATGATCCTCATGTTGAATGTGTATCAGAAGGTAGGGACTGGTGTGCCGAGTTGAGATCGCCGCCTTAGAAATCGCTGAACAAAGCTTCGTATTTCTTCTTCATGTCGTCGGTGTAAATGGCCTGACCCCTCACGTCTACGTCGGGATAGTCCTCAAAGTTTCCGGTATCTGCGGGATGGTCAACTCGCGGGATGATGGGCCCTTTCATGCGCCGGTGGAACAAGTCATCCCAATTGATGTCCTCAAAGAAAGGGTGCGCTTTGACTCTCGCAGAGCCACCTGATATGTGTCCAAGCCGCTCACTCGGATTGGTCTTGCAGAGACATGATATGATGTTCTGGGCTGCGGGCGACATGTTCGGAGGAAAACGCAAGCGGCCCTCGACGATCTGTTCGTAGATGCGCATCGGGTTCTGATCCCAGAACGGGGGCTGCCCAACCAAAAACTCGTAGATGAGGATCCCGAGAGCCCACCAGTCCACAGCGAGGCCATGACCGCTGTTGTGGATGACCTCAGGAGCCAGGTACTCCGGAGTGCCGCATAGCGTGTATGTCTCGCGATCGTTGATCTGCTTCGCGAATCCAAAGTCGACCAGCTTAATATGCCCGTCAGCGTCCAAGAGTATGTTTTCTGGCTTCAGATCACGGTAAACGACGCCCTCAACGTCATGAAGGTACTCGATCGTTAGCGTGATCTCGGCTGCATAGAATTTCGAGGTATTCTCGTTGAATCGCCGCGCACGCCGAAGATAGCTGAAGATCTCGCCTCCGGGGCAGTAGTCCAGCTAGGTAGGAACAAGGTCAGACGAGGGTACTAATACAAATACGACGGCGACGAGGTCCAGCAGAAGGCAGGGAATGGGAAGGTCCGTTCTTCACAAGACGCGGTGGCTTGCATACCAGCATATATAGGCTCTGTTCATCGGAAAATGTCGCGATCAGAGTCGTGATAAAAGGGTGACCGGCAACCGCAGCAAGTGCTTTTCGCTCATTGCGCACATGCTCCACTTGCTTCAACTTGATCACTGTAATCCCAGAATATCTCGCCCGTCAGTCCGGCCAAAGATGCGGATAGAAGCTTTCACATGCATCCTCACCATCTGCTTTGCGTAAAACCTTTAGCGCGTACACATTGTCCCGCCGGATCGCTTCGTCTTTGAATTTCGCCAGCCACACTCGAGCAAAGGTACCTGGATGCACCCCAGCGGTGTCAGCATCGCGCACTGCAGACCTCGCCACTTGCGTCGAGACTTACCAGTACCAAGTGTTTTGATTAGCGTAAAATCATTAACGCAAAGGCTCCGAGTTGATATTCCCAGCTGCTTTTCCTCCGGCCGATCTTTAATGACAAAAGGATTCACCGATCTCTGATGAGGGGGTCGGAAGGACGTAACCATCTGCTTTTCTCTTTCATGAACGTTTTCCAAAGGAGTGTCGACCCCTCTGGATGACGGAGAGGAGCTCTGAATCTCACTATGTGTCGAAGGCTCGGCCTTTCCTGTAGCCATTGGGATGGCAAGAGATCATGTCTCGAGGACAGCGGGGAACGGATCTGGGGGTAAAAAAAGAACGCCGCAGGAGCTGTTGTGACGGATTGCAATTTCGAAGGCTACTGGTCGAAGCAAGCAGAAATGGGAAGATCGATCGTTAATGACCTGTGAAAATGCTTCAATTAAGCAAGCCAAGCCTTGATCAATCCTTCATGGGAGGCAAGAGCTTTTGCTGAAGTTCGTCTTTTCTGGCCGCGGAACCAAGCAGCAATAGTCCATGGCGGCGTTCACGGAGCACCAAGGCTCTGACGTTACCGACTGGCGGGGCAGCCTGTCAACGACTCGGCATGCACCACTAGCGTGATCGGACAGATCCCGGTTGCAGTGCATGGTTTTTATGACTACATCTGATGCTATCTCTGAATATCCATTGTATTTTTGGAGATCAAACACAGAAGTGTGAGATAAATCTTCATGTCCAGGAATGTGAAGTAGGAGCTAGTACAAAAAGGCCCTGAGGAGTCATACGGACAAGCCTCTAGAAGATCACACGCGCAGAAACGGTCCCTTGCCGCAAGGAAGCACCGGTGCGCCTTTACCATAGCCAAGAAACTCATGTATTTGGCTACGCAGTTGTATAACACCATGAGGTACCAGCGCAGTTATGCACGTCGATCTAGACGTACTTCGAGTTGCAAGCACATCATTGAGGATTCGGTGTGAAGCGCGGAGAAGAAGGATTTATTTGCTCTTCGAGTTGAGGATGAGACCGACAATTAGTCTGACAGCAGTTAGCACTGATATGTCTTTGTTGCCGCATTGGCGGGAAGACAAACCCATAAAGACCGAGAACTTCGCCAAAAATCAGGATAAGAATCATCCCGACATAGACTCGGGACTGCTGCATGTAAGCACGAACACCCTCAAGAAAATGTTAGCATCAAAGTCAGAAACAAGCATTGTCGCTAAGTTGCTCACCGCATCACCAACGATCCCGATGGTATATCCGGCGGCCACGCCCGCGAGGCCAACCGATAATCCGGATGCAAGGTGCATGAATCCTCTGGCCTCAGACATCAATAACAGAATTATCAACGTGGGTTCGACGGGGCGTGACCTACGTGTACAAGCTCATGTTCTGTGTTGGAGGCGGCGCCATGTCTCCTGCGATGAGAACTGCAATGACCAAACCGTAGACCGCGATGATACCCGACATGACGACTGGGATCAAGGACTATGCCAGGAAATTAGAACATCTACTTGAACTAATTTTCTGGAACTCGCGGGGTGAAAACTGCAAACCTTCATGATCAAATCCGGCCGAAACGTTCCTACACCAGAGATACCAATCCCAGACTTTGCCGTTCCATACGCCGCTCCCATTGCTGTGACTTTGTAAGTGTCTCATCCCATCTTATACCATCTCATACATGATCGAGTTAAGACGTACACCCGAAAATCATCTTCGAGAGGTTGTTAGTACAGCGTAGAGAAACGATTCGTAGTTTATGGTGAACTCACTGCAGATGCGATTCCCGCCTGGGATCTCCAGTCAGCAGATGTTCCTATGATTGAAGCAATTCAACCAAAAGATTTATATTGCAAGACTTACAAAGGAGAAAAATGGCGCGAATTTGGGAGCCAGCTCGCTTTCCGCCATTTTGAGTATCTTCGCGATGACGAACCGTCAGAGCGGAGTGGAAAGGGGTAAGAAAACGGGACTAATGTAGAGCTTTGAGCTCAAGACCGGTGTAAAAGAAGAATGCGACCAGATAAACAAGAGCAAACAGAAGTAGATAGACCAATATGTACTTCCTTAGGCGAGTGACGGCCGACAGTAGGTTAAGCAGCAGCAGTAGTGCCTATCTACACCGAGGGTTGACCAGGTTGTTCGCTGCGGGCCACCGTAGTTCAAGGTGTAATGTACTCCGTATAGTAATTCGTATCGCCGCAGAGCCACCACCGCCCGGGCTTAGCCACTCCGGGTAAAGGGCGACATGTGCCTGTTCCTCAACCCAACTAACATTGAACCCCCCCCGTGCTTTTCCATCTCGAGACGGTCCCGTTCTTCATCAACCTCCCCCCGTCGTCGATACATTGCTCTGTTATATCTCTTGGCTATTATTATCGTTGCAACATCGATCAACGACGGCACGCACTACGACCACCTCTTACCTCCTCCTCTTCCTCTTCTGTTACTACCTCTCCTCCCTAACACCTTCGCCCCTCCTTTCTCACGCACTCCCGCTCGCTATCTTGAGATCCCTACAGGTTTAGGGCCTGGTGCTCTTGAATTTTGCCCCCCACCAAGGAGTCGGCTCACATCGATAGATCGGCTAGTCCGAGAGAGAATGCTGAGGTTATGATTAGCGGGGGCTCTAGCTTGCGGTTGCGCTCAAGGCTCCTAGCGCATTTCGATCGTTAACACATCGCTCAAGACCTTTTCCAGGCTCGAATCTGTGACAGGGCAAACTCGGATTAAGGAATGAGAGTCCGAGGGAGTCCTTGTGTCAAGTCTTTTTCTCCCTCTCTTGCTTGCTTTTATTTTCACTCTCTTTTTCGCTTGGCCGGCGAACTGTCGCTTCTGGACTAATCCAACGACATCGACTCTCTGCTCCTCCACGCCTTAAAACGATCACCTTCTGACGCTTTGAACGTTTTATACGACCACTTTCGCGTCACCGTATCGAATCATCTCCGCGTCTGGCTCATTTCCACCAGCCGGACACTTTCAGAGGTAGAAGCGGAAAGCAACATAAAGGGATAGGATGGCCGATCTCGGTGGCCAACAGGGCCGGAACTACCGGCCTTATGGACATGCCTCCTCTTTCCAGCGCGACGCTGCATTCTCAGAGATATTCGGCGGGGCACCGCCACCTGGACGCTCCCAGACAATGAACTCGCAGACGCCCCAGTTTTCGCAAGATCGCGCTCACACAATGTCATCCCATGTGCCACATCCTCAAATGCAAAGGCCACCCCCGCAGCCGGCTCGTCAGGGACCGAATGGTTACACACCGGCAGCTCCGAACGGACACTATCAAGCCTACCCGGGGCCCGCAGCTATGGCTCAACAATCTTCCCACAATCCCCCGCGACCATATCCCGGACGTTATGTCTATCCTCAGCCCCAACGGTTAGATTCGAGACCCGCTCCTGGCCCACAGTATCCAGATGCCAAGGGATACAGTCGGCCTATGCCTCCCCCAGCCCTGAATTCGGATGCATACAGATCAAGGTCAATGGCGCGAATGGGTGGCCCGCCGGGGTATCAACAACCGCCACCCAGCAGTTTCAATCACACTTCCGCAAGCGCTTTTCGTCAACAACCGTATAGCTCGACAACTCCGGTAACCGATCAAGGACGCGTTGTGCCAGTGAGACATGCGAATGAACGCGCAATGTCGCTGACATCCTACTCCATGGATCGCGACCATTCTCACACCACGCAGACAGGTCGGGTGATCCCTACAAGGAGGCAGCCATCTGGCCCAAGTCAACCCCCGACGCATCAGTTCGAAGAAGAGCCTGCAAGCGTTCACAGTGTAAACGGAAGACCGCGACCGCCAAGTGATGGGTCAACAAATTCCCGCGCTATGTCTATGGCGTCGACCATCGTACCAGATCGGACCATGAGCATGCAAAGCCAGATGACGCACAGGCCCAGCAATCAAACAACTTTAGTTTCCAACAATTCCCGCCGGAGCAAGGTCCCACTGGTGTATCCCGCCCTACTCTCACGGGTCGCTGACGTCTTTCGCGAGAGAATCCCGCTTGGAGAACGACAGAAGAACGGCTTGTCTTATCAAAATGCGTTTTCTGGTGCGGAGGCTGTGGATCTTATTGCTCACATCATCAAGACAAACGATCGTAATCTTGCTCTTCTTCTGGGGCGAGCGCTCGATGCGCAGAAGTTTTTCCACGATGTGACGTACGATCATCGACTTCGAGACGCTCCGGGGGAAATCTATCAATTCAAGGAAACCATGGGAGAAGAGGCGCCGAGTTCCGAGGTCAATGGAGTTTTTACGCTTTTGACAGAATGTTACTCTCCCACCTGCACGCGCGATAGTCTGTGCTATTCTATTGCGTGTCCAAGAAGGCTGGAACAACAAGCAAGATTGAATCTCAAGCCGCAACCAGGTCTACGCACGTCCGCCTCGAAGGCCAGCCTTCACGGCGATGATGACAATGATAATCAGAAACTCTGGATTAATATGGTTCCCAAGGAAGTTTCTGACAGTATCGACGATCGCGAAAAGAAGCGCCAAGAAATCATCTTCGAGATCATGTACACAGAACGTGATTTTGTCAAGGATCTGGAGTACCTGAGAGATTTCTGGATGAGACCTTTGCGTGCGGCCGGCAACGCAAACCAATCCCCCATCCCGGAGCATCGGCGCGAGAAATTCATTCGAACAGTGTTCGGCAATTGCTTGGAAGTTCTGAAAGTTAATGGTGCTTTGTGTGAAGCCCTCAACGCCAGACAAAAGGAAAGTCCTGTGGTGAAGACTGTTGGTGACATATTCCTCCAGCATGTACCCAACTTTGACCCTTTCATCAAGTATGGTGCCAACCAGCTCTATGGTAAATATGAGTTTGAGAAGGAGAAGGCATCCAACCCTGCTTTTGCAAGATTCGTCGAAGAGACTGAACGGCTCAAGGAGTCACGGAAGCTGGAATTAAACGGCTACTTGACCAAGCCCACCACTCGTCTAGCAAGGTATCCGTTGCTTCTCGAACAGGTTGTGAAGAACACGAAGGATGGTAACCCGGACAAGGAAGATATTCCCAAAGCCATCAAACTCATCAAAGATTTCTTGTCGCGGGTTAACACCGAGAGCGGAAGGGCCGAGAACCATTTCAACCTCGTGCAGCTGAATTCGGCCCTGAAGTTTAACCCCGGCGATTATGTTGACCTGAAGTTGACTGAGGAGAATCGTCAAATGCTCACTAAGATGGCGTTCAGGAAGGCTCCAACAGATAGTTCCGAAGTAACTGCGTATCTCTTCGACCACGCAGTATTGCTTGTGAGAATCAAAGTCGTTAACAAGCGCGAAGAGTATCGTGTCTATCGGAAGCCAATCCCTCTCGAACTGTTGGTTATCGCACAGATGGACGAAGTGATTCCCAAGGTTGGAGTCCCCAAGAGACCGTCGTCCAGCTTGCTCTCCAACAAGCCTGCCGCCAATCCTCCCAGCACTAAAGAGGGGTTACCCATAACCTTTCGGCATCTAGGCAAGGGTGGCTACGAGCAGACACTCTATGCCACGTCGCCAACACAAAGAAGAAAATTCATCGAGATGGTCGAAGAGCAACAAAGAAAGCTCAGAGAACGGAACAGTAACTTCTACAACAAGACGGTTTTGTGTTCGAATTTTTTCACTTCTGCAAACCGCGTGAATTGCCTTGTCCCTGTTGGTACGTCTCACTCCCAATACTATCCTCTTGCGCAGTAGACTTTGTGCAGATCTTGCTAACGTTTCTTGGCAGATGGTGGCAGGAAGTTGGTGTATGGCACTGATAGTGGCATTTTCATCTCGGAGCGTTGGCCCAAGGATAAGTCTGCCAAGCCGAGACGGGTGCTGGATGCTAGCCAGGTCACTCAAATCGACACCTTGGAGGAGTACCAACTACTTCTGGTGCTAGCGAACAAAACACTCTCATCCTATCCGATGGAGGCGCTCGAGCTTGCGGAGGGTCAAAATTCAGTGGCAAAGCGGCCGAAGAAGATTCAAGGTCATGCGAACTTCTTCAAAGCGGGAATTGGGCTTGGACGCCATTTGGTATGCTCTGTCAAGACATCCGCTCTGTCATCGACTATCAAGGTTTACGAGCCCATGGACAACCTGGCAAAGGGCAAGAAGAAATCTGCCGTGAGCAAGATGTTTCAGAGCGGTCAGGACACTCTGAAGCCCTTCAAGGTTTGTATATTCTGCTACACCATTGCATTGCATTTGGGCTGTTAACTCATTACTTCGCTTTAGGAATACTACATACCGGCAGAGTCATCGTCTATCCATTTCCTCCGCTCGACTCTTTGTGTGGGATGCGCTCGGGGTTTTGAGGTAGTAAGTCTTGAGACTACTGAGACGCAGTCCCTTCTGGATCAGGCGGATACCTCGCTTGATTTTGTCGCACGCAAGGAGAACGTGAAGCCGATTCATATTGAGCGAATGAACGGCGAGTTCTTGCTCAACTACAGCGACTTCTCCTTCTTCGTGAACCGAAACGGGTGGCGAGCTCGCCCGGATTGGAAGATCTCATGGGAGGGCAACCCCAATGCGTTTGCCCTATCATACCCTTATATCCTTGCCTTTGAGCCAAATTTCATCGAAATTCGGCACATTGAGACGAGTGAGCTGATACACATCATGACTGGAAAGAACATTCGGATGTTGCATTCTTCCACAAGAGAGGTGTGTTCATATTCCAAACATTATCATCCGATTGAATGGATAGCTAATGCCGTCTCAGATTCTGTACGCCTACGAAGACGAAGGAGGCGAGGATGTAGTAGCCAGTCTGGATTTCTGGAACAAGCCCCAACAACAACAATGAGACGCTTGAATGGCTGGTACAAACAAAAGGAGAACCTTGTCCTTCGATGCCATTACATGTTTCAGCTTCCCGTAGAAAGTCGTCTTATCATACACGAGGCAGTTGACTCTTCCTTTTCAGCAGCTGTTGACTCCCTCGAATTTTTCAAGGGATATCGCCCAGCTCTCAGATCTTAATGTTTTGTGTTGCTGATTTGATCATTTAATGTGTGTCAGGACAGCATCTGCTTACTTCCCCTGTGTACAATGAAGCGCAAATACCACTTGCTTTTTAGTCCCTTCAAATTTTTTCTTTATTCTGCCGCTTTCTACTTCATCTGTGTTCGGTTCCCTTTTCCATTGCTCTTATATTCTTTTCATCTTCTCTTTACTACATATAAATTCTCCGGCTTTTTGTTCGATTCCGGTTGTCTTCCTACACCTCGATGTGACGTCTCGAGGATCTTAGCTCAGTTAATCGCGGGGGAAGCTGGCGCTGGTCCCTCCGGTTCATTAAATAACAATCATTTTAGTCGATCTCCAGCCTTTCTTCTCTTGGCCTTTCCATGTTGGCAGAAATGGTTCGTCCTGGAAATCCTGACCGCTAAAACAGATGTGTGCAAGGGTTGCAATCCCACTACGCAGGACATAGCAGAGAATGTACTTTTTCTTCCTCATATACTACTATTCAACTTGGACATAGAATGATAGTAGAGACAAGACGTAAGCTATGAGAGCACACAAAGGATGAAACGACAACAGAGGGAATCTTGCGACGCTGCTGAGATGGGACAGGTGTCGGTTGACAAAAAAAGACAAAGGAGAAGGGAGAACTGAGCAAAGACAGGTATTGGAGTCAGCGTTACAAGCAGCAACTGTAAAAGATTAGAAAAAGCTATTCCGGACACCGGGCATTGCAACATGGATTCTGAAGATCGCCGAAATCTCCAGTGGAATGAGAAGAAATATAAGGCCAGTAAATAAGAGAAAAACAAATGTCGGGAGCAACAGCCAGATACCATCCCTCGGTCTTAGATACCGCTCTATCATATAGGGGGAATGGTGTCGGTCATCGAGAAATGAAGCGCTGCATTTTTCTTGGTCCCTCAGCAAGACGAAGCTATTAACGTGAATAGACGGTCAATATCAACCCCATGAACAGTTACAACCCGCTGTGCCACAAGTTCCATTAGGTTAGCACAGACGGTTCGAGCTCGCAAAACTGTATCCCGCTTTGACAGAACAGCCTTCGAAAATAGAAATAAGGAATTTAAGCATCTCCGTTGGCAGCCTCGGGCTGAAGGGCCATTTGGCTCTGGCTGGCCTCACGCGCCATGCGGGCTTCGATCTCCCTGAGTTGGCTTTCGCGGGCCAACAATTCCTGGCGTTTCTCGGCGATTTCACGCTGCACCTTGAGCTCAATCTCGCGAAGTTTCTCTTCCTCGCGACGGAGTTGCTCCTCCTTGAGGCGGACTGATTGAGATGCAAGATCTTCGGGGTTCATAGAGGAATCGTGACCACTGTAACTGAGAATTAGTATCTTGTAGAAGAATAACAACAGAACCAAAACAGATTCGAGGAGCAACATACGAAGCAGCACCGTCCACGCTCTTGCTCAGCTTCTCGGTACGGTAGTTCTCGTAGAGAAAGTCGTGGGTGATCTCCTTCAAATCTGCGAGATGGCTGTGAAGCAGAGCGCTTCTGATAGCCAAGAAGTCGGAGTGTCTGGGATTCTCAACTTCCACAACACCCCAGGGATACTGCCGGGCCCGCACTTTCCGTCCATCAATCTCAACGAAATCTTCAGAGCCGACAATCGCGAATGGCATAAGCCCACGCAGCTCAGCGTTCTCTTCGACTGTATCTTCATCATCCTCCTCAATGTCGTAGGGGAAATTGTACACAGGGATGCGGTAGTGCTCAATATCCTCCATGATGAGCTTCTTGGACTCGGCGAGTTCGGCAGGGGTGAGGGAATCGGCTTTTCCGATAACGGGGATGACATTGACACGAGGAGAAAGACGTTTCATCAGTTCGATATCCAACTCGCGCAAGCCGTGACCAGTTGGTGTGATAAAGTAGAGGAGGACGTGGACACGGTTGTCCCTGAAGCGAGGGTTACGCTTGATTCGCGATTCTTCAGCAAGAATATCGTCATATTGGCGTTCGAGGTATCCGACGATTTCACCAAAGCTGAAGAACAGTCAGTCTTGAGGCGCACATGCGGAACTGGTTTCTACATGCCTGGCTTCATTGTCAATCTGGTCACCGAAACCGGGGGTATCAACGATGGTGAGGGAAATTCGGGTGCCTTCGTCGTCTAATTCGAGTTCTTTCAATTATGAAATCAGTGTCGTTTCTTCTTCTAGGTAAGCACTGATGGTAACTTACCGACTGTGACAGGCTTGATACGGACACCTTCCTCAATGTGAGCGCTGGCAGCATCGTCGGCATCCTTGCTCTCGAGGACTTTCTTTCCGCAGAGGGTGTTGACAAAGGTTGTACGTCCTGTTCAAAGGAGATACCAGGTCAGTATGGGGAACAGTGGCCAGGCGGACGACTTCGAAACATACCGGTTCCGCTAGCACCACAGACCATCAAGCAGAACTGGATACCCTTCTTGACATTTTTCTTGCGACGAATCTTATGTGGAATGTCAGATTATGATCTTAATAGTAAGGCAACAGAGACACAGGTATATGAGTCATAGTAACTGGACCCCAATCGGAACAATTGTGCGGAATGGATGAAGAAGTGGCGGGATTGTCTTCCTCAGCAAAGAGGCCAGAAAGGGGAAGCAAACAACATACCGCGTTGAGAGCCGACGACATGGTGGGCTAAGGGATAAGGGAGGGAACCCGAGCAAAAAGACAGAGTCCAGGTGAGATTGTAGAGAAAGAGGGGGAAAGCGAATGGCAGCTCCAGAGACTCAGGTTATGAAGCCAAAGTAGGGAACCAGGGAAGTTAGTGAGGTAAAGATGGATGGATGCTGCTGTGTCTCTCCTGAGATCGAATGGAGTGAGCAACAGACCAGTTGGAGACTTGACTGTAGCTAGTTTAGGGGGAAGGTCCAGGTACCGTATCGATGTTTCCACGGTACGCAGATACAGGGGATCTTACAGTATGGTACACACCTACCATCTTAACCCGCAGGCAAAAAGCCATACGCACCCCTCCCCATGCGGTACCTGATTGTTTTACTCTTACCTCAACTGGTAATTTACTATGCCTATCCTGGTTTTTGCTTCTCCAGGTTGAAAGCGCAGACCTACCCCAGTTGATGAGAACGATGTGGATGAGTAGCTTTTCTCTGCAGTAGCAATTTACACAGTAACTTATTGTCTCTAAAATGTTCATTTCATTATCCTACTAGATCATGTAAAAGAGCTAGCTACTTAGGTAATGTGAAGCGCTCAAAGATCCATCAATTCAGGGGTTGATACTCAGTGCGGTGGTGGGTCTATCTGGCTCTATGCAGCGTATACCTTAGTAATTTATTGTATCAAAAGTTCAAGCCTATGGTTTCCTGTGCTGTCTGGATCCTGATGTTCTTGCCTAAGGCAAATACGGGCACGGCACCCATGTTAAGCTTGAAAGCAATGGATACCTCATTAAGACTGATCATAAATCGAAGCAGCTATATACAGAACCGAGCTCTGAATCCATTACAGGAGTTCTGCCATCGGAAGCTGGCTGGTATGGCTCAACTGCCATTCTGAAAACAACCAGTCAAAGCAGGTCATGGACGCTTTTTGAAGGATTCCTAGCAAAACATCATCTTCTCTACCCCTGGCCGGTATGGCAGAATAACACTGATTTCTAGAGGTAGCCTAGCGCTACACTTGTGTCGAGTTCCCGATTGAAAAAGCTGATGTCGACTCTCATGCATGAGAGGCGAAGACACCTGCGGTGCTTGTTGAGAGCTTCATTATCAGAGATAGTGATGAGACGAGCTCAACATTGTATGTGACATCAAACGCTAGCACAAAGACCCTGTTCTTACTGGCAGTCGCTTAAGAACATGCCCCAAATTTGAACGAAAACATTCTTAGATATTAGCAGTAGTTGATCATGTGATGATAACCGCCAACTGCGGATACCTCAGGCATTATTCCGTATCTATTGTTGGTCCTCCTCCACTATTTGTCTGGGGGAGCTTGAAACGTTTCGTCATTGCTCCGAGGTCTTAGTCCGGCGGCCTCATCACAAGGTCCGATCCAAAATGCTTCATTCAACATCGAGGCGTTCTTGAGTTGACAGTATTCTCCCGGCGTTACTCTTGTCTGTTCTTCATTCAGCGCAGTAGCAAATATTCTTCCATTCACAGTGATTCCCATCCTCCCGAATATTACCTAGTACCTAGAGGTTCTCCTTCATGGCTCCTGTCATCGCGTATAACTATGGATACTCGACAGGTTATCGATGAGTCCTTGGGGCCATATTCTCTTTCTGCTAGCTTCAATAGTGACAATAGCTGCTTCTCTGTTGGCTTGGATACCGGATTTTGTGGTAAGAGTTGGCTCCCAGCGATCAATAGCGTTGGAGGGAATTGCGTCGCAAGCGAGCACAGCTAAATTTTGATCGATCAACTACAGTCTTCAATGCGAATCCATGTGAGCTAAAAGTGTCACGGGGTACGTGCCATCCTCCCCTGAAGATGCGCCATTTCCAATTCTCATTTTCTTCACGACAATGCAGATTTCAATGCTGGAATAGGCGTAGTGGTAATGCTAGGCCAGTCAAACTACCTGGCTATTGTTGGTGGAGGAAGAAATCCCAAATTTCCTCAAAACAAGGTGTGCAGCTCTCAATTCTGGCGGCTTGCATATTTTGGTGAAGCTGACTCGTGAGACTCTTTGCAGTTGGTGATCTGGGACGATGCGAAACAAAAAGCAGTCATAACACTCGAGTTCCGTACGTCCGTCCTTGGTGTCCGTTTGTCGAAATCGCGAATCGTGGTCGCTTTATTGAATAGTATACACATTTTCGCGTTTTCCAATCCTCCACAGAAGCTCTCAGTCTTCGAAACGACCGACAACCCTACTGGTCTGGCTTGCCTAGGGCAGAAGTTACTCGCTTTTCCAGGAAGATCTCCAGGTCAGGTGCAGATCGTCGAGCTGGAAACGGGAAATGTCAGCATCATACCTGCTCATAGTACTCCGCTGCGTGCCATGGCGTTAAGTCCCGACGGTGAAGTGCTGGCAACAGCGAGTGAAGCGGTATTATAATCGCCCCCTTCTGTGACGATGTCTATACATAGTTGACCTGTTACTGTTCAGGGTACATTGATACGAGTGTTTTCTACGAGCAACTGCACAAAGATGGCTGAACTGCGACGAGGAGTTGACCATGCGGTGATCTTCTCACTTGCGATTTCGCCTTCGAACAATATATTAGCTGTCACATCGGATAAGTCTACTCTCCATCTGTTCGATATCCCCCATCCACGAAATCAGTCCCGCCGAAGCCAGTCACCTTCCTCGCTGTCGGAAGAAGGGACAAACCACAAATGGGGAATCTTAGGCAAAATTCCCTTGCTTCCACGAGTATTCTCTGACGTATATTCTTTCGCGAGTGCCCATTTCGAGATTGGCGAAGAATCGCCGCCAGGGTCACTCTACGTTCCCCCCTTAGGAACATCGTTTGCACGACCGTCAAAAGGTGTCTTGGGCTGGCCCGACGATCGTACCATACTTGTGGTAGGGTCTGGCCGAGATGGGCGATGGGAGAAATTTGTGATTCGCGAAGGGGATGATGGGAAGCGGCATTGCGTGAGAGAGGGTTGGAAACGATATCTCGGGGCCGGTTGAGGGCGCTCCTTTCTCCCTGCATTGATATCACGGGTTGAAACTGATGCACAATATAGAAGATATGCACCTGGTAATGTAATAGTTGAAACTATCGTTCCTCGAAAACATGTTCCTGTTCCAGCGATTTGATTCGAACAATATGGGAAGTATTGATAGAGTTGACCACGCCGATTTCATTCTTGCATTGGCAAGATGCGCAGGACGTTTTGTGCGCTCAGTCCCCAATCCGGAGGTCCGAGGAGGCGGTTTGAAATTCGTTCTACTGCAAGTTGACTCCTGCTTCGCATGATCCTCTTTAATCACTAGGGAACGGACAGGCGCAGCAGCCATTGATCATTTGATCCCTATGAACGTCGACGATCGTCTCTTTCACGATCACTTCGTGGTACTGGGAATCGGGAGCGCACAGGCGATCTCTCCCTGTGAGATTTTTCTCTGCGCGACGATGATCTGTCTCTGCGGGAACGCTCTTCTTTGGATAACGACCGGTCACGGCGATGCCTGCGTTCTCGAGAGCGAGATTGATCCTCGTCTCGGTGACGGTGATGACGATGGCGGTGATGGCGGCTCGATCGCTCCCGACTTGGATCTCGTCTGCGAGAATGCTTCTTCTCCTTGTTCAACCGTTCAAGAGCTCGCGCGACTTCTTCCTTCTTCTCTTCGATGAGATATTCTTTCATAGGGTCCTCGTCGTCATGGTTCATCACCAACTCCTGAAGTTCTCTCTCTTCCTTGAGTAGGGGCCGACTCCGCACCTCATCCTCTCTGGATTCACTGGACCTTCGCTTCTTGCGTCTTCTTTCGTCATCAGTATCCTCACCCCTTGCGTTCCGATCAGTAGTCTCGCCCATCAGTTTCGCGACGTTATCTTCCTCTTCTTCGTTGCCACGTTTCTTGTATCTCGCATGGTCCACTCGCAGGACCCTGCCCAAGACTGTTGCCCCGGTCAAATTATCTACAGCCAAATCTGTACTGCGCTGGTCCTCATATTTTAGGAACGCGAAACCTCGACTCTTTCCGGTTTCTTTGTCCCGAATCAGATCCACATGTACTGGCTCTCCGTACTGTGAAAAGATTGTTATAATGTCGCCTTCTGAGAGATCGAATGGCAGGCCCCCGATGTAAATGTATGCCGTATCCCGATAATCTGCGTGCCAGGAAGCTTCAGGTGGGCTAGGAAATTTCAATCACGTCAGTAATGTGAAGCCTGTAAGATTCAGAAGATAAAGAACATACACTGCATTTTCAAGTTCGCGCTTGTTGAGCGCTTGAGTTTGACGAATAGCGTTCATAGTCGACCTTCGTAGTTGAGAGGCTGTTGTATCTAGCCTTTGGCAAACGTGAAGATAACGAGGTAGCTTGATAGTCGCAAAAAGCTCCTAGGTCATGGTATCACGGGTGGGCTCCGCGCAAGGTCCCACCCGCAGAGACGGAGCGGGAAACTCATAATATTATGAAACATTGTTTACATCTAAGCGGTTTGACTTCCATTTTCTCTAAAGGAGAACTTCTATTTAATATTTGAACTGGTCATTTCTGGACTTAACCTGTCGACTATATCGCTTACTCTCAAGTTCGATTCATCCGCCGATTTGCGGGCAGGAATACTAGCTACAGCATCAATCTTGAACGTCCCCTGACACTGTCCGCCTCTTTCCCTTCCCTGTGCGCAAGGCCTCAAGATCGACGCGTTAAGCAGGTCAGAGCTCTGATAAAGACTTTAACTAGTTGGAATGGTCAGCACAGGTTGAGCAGGGTCGATCTTGGACATAATGTCTGGAAACAATAGTCGACCGTCAAGTAAAGATGGCTCAAAGAAAAACATCTGGTCGTCCATGCTGGACAGTGTCGCAAATGGAAAGCGCTTGCCTGAGAAGAATCTTTTGATATTAGGTGCGCAGTCTTCTAATTTGTCCTCTACCATCTCTTGGTTGTAGTTGAAGTTTATGAACCTGCTTGCTGATCTATCAAATTCACTTCAGGAGGAACACCCGAATCACAGAGGGAGTTTATAGAGACACTATCCGCGGACACTTCGGATCCTACTTTGATCAGCGAGAAGCGCAGGGGAAGGTTACCGCCAGTCGCAAATCAATTCGCGTTAGGATACACATATCATGACGTCCTGGACGCCGACCAGGAAGGTAATTCGGCCTTTCTCGAGTCTTTACCCCACACCGCTACCATCGATCGGGCTTTTGTGATAATGATGGCTAACCAGTCGTTTTCACCTCAGATACCTTGGCTCGGGTCTCTGCATATCTACTTTCCGAACCGTCATTGTCCTTTGCACCGCTCCTCAAGCCACTCTTGACTCCTCAATCAGTCCCAGAAACTTTAGTCGTAATCCTGCTCGACTGGTCGGACCCCTGGACATGGGTTCGAAGATTGCGGGAATGGGTTCGTTTGCTGCGACATGTTCTCATCTCCCTTGACGATGAAACAAAGATTGTAATGGAAGAGATCATGACGGAATGGAAGGACCGAAAAAGGGGCATGGATTCCGGAGCGCAAGGGTTGGCCAGCTCTGGAGGACCGGTAACGATACCTCCCGGCCCTGGTGAATGGGATGAGGGGCTTGGGATCCCCATGTGTGTGGTTTGTCAAGGGGTATGTGGTACTATACCATGGTGAACGGACCAGACCGGGCTGATTGCTCTTCAACAGGCGGATAAGATCGAGAAACTGGAGAAGGAGCACGGATGGCGTGAAGAGGAGTTTGACTTCATCCTTCAGTTTATGAGGACCATTCTTCTGAAACGTGAGAGTGTCCATTCTCCTAAATTCTTTCGAGAAATTGCGCTAACTGCTAGCAGATGGCGCATCGTTGACATATACCACCACTTTCCTTGCAAACTCCCTGCAGAGCTTGATACATTCGTCCCTTGGAATACATTCGTTACTGAAGCGACAATCGCTCAAGCACAATGTGATCGATCGAGACAAGATTTTGGTGCCTCCGAATTGGGATTCATGGGGGAAGATTCGAATCATCAGAGAGGGTTTTGATATGGAAGGTGTATCAACTGCTTGGTCCATCGAGATCCAGGACGCTCCCGAGCCACTCACTGGAGCCGTCGATCAACCTCAAGACGACAGCGCAATGGGTGCCGAAGACGGGACCAGCGCTGTGACAATATTCGAACAAACGATCACAGATCCGAAGCGCAATACCGCGATGGCGCATCCCAGAAGCCAAAATAGGGCGAACAAGATTGAAGTGGAGACGCTGGACATGCAGAGCTTCCTTGCCAAGCAACTAGACGTCCTTGAGCAGTTGAAGCTGGAAGATGAGAAGGATCGTGCGACAAAACAAGTGCCTCAGCTTGAAATGTCGCCTTTAGAAGATAACGGTCGGGTCAACGAGCACATTGGGCCGGTGCAATTCAACATGGGAGGTATTCAGGTCGACGCTGATGACATGCTGCGGAAACTCAAAGTAAGCTACCGAATCAACCTGAACGAAGATGTGCTTCGGACTTTTTGCTAATCATTCCCAGGAGAGAGAGGCCAGCCGAGTCCAGAGAAAAGAGGTCGTTTCGTCACCGGGGGATGAAAAGGCACACAATCAAGCGCTGGCGAATTTCTTTGCAGGCTTGGTCAAGAAACCTGGAACGAGTCCGCGCGGAAGTCCGTCGGCTTGAAATACCGGCGAGTTGAGTTGAGCGGCCTTTTTAATTGTACTTTTATCGTTCCCGTTCAGTACATACTCCAAGGATCGAGCATATCGGCTTGGCGACGCTCTTTGTTTTCGATACCAGAATAGCCTGTTACGGTGGATTAGGAGTCTTAGAGTTGGGCGACATATCTGACTAGCACATATTCCCTTTGTCTATCTGCGGAGCTATATTCTATCCAACCGAATGATATCATAATATGACCACCAATAGTGATACTGTTGGGTTGTCTCAGGAAAATTTGCGAGGTACAGTTTTTCGTGACGCCTAGCTGCAAAAACTTAGCAATGTTTGTCCGACTTTTTTCAAGCATATGATACGTCGCATACTTTCATGAACATGAGGTTGAGCCGGACCTTTTTGAAATACGTCGGACAATCTTTTCTTATAACAAAGCTGTGCAAGCAACTGGCTTTTCAGAAGATCGATAGTAATACATACACTTATGTAAAAAAAATCTTTTTACCAATTCTCCCAGACCGCATCCGGCATGACTGTCCTCATGATCTCCCAATGGGCAATTGCACCACGATCCTGGTACTTATGAAGACGGCCCGTTTCCTTTGCAACCAGAACACGTCTTCCGCCCTTCTCAACCTTATCGAATTGGGCTGGGTCCACCTCGTGTTTGGGCACAAGGTAGTGTTGACGAGACTTGCTTCCCAGAAAATCGGCTTTGACTGGATCCCTGAAGCGAAGGGGTGTGTTGCTCTTCTTGCAAAAGATCACCATGTTGGTGAAATCGAATTTGGCATCCGCGGCTGCGTCTTCGCGGAAGATTCGGCACGACGGGAAGACTGTCTTGATTGTGCGCACCGTGAGTGCGGCTGGGTAAAGTGAGATATCGCCAGCGTAGTTCTGTAGATATCGTTAGTCATGAGGTGACGGAGTTGGTAAAGGAGGGGCGGGTCTTACAATGGCAATAACACCATCGTCTTTCAATAGGTCATATAGACCCTTGATGAATTCGATTGTGAAGAGCTCGACTGGCTCCGCCCCGCCGGTGAAGACGTCGTGGACAATGTAGTCATATTGAGCAGGGTTTGGGGATTCTTGGGCACGCTTCACAAACACTGTAGCGTCTTCAATAGCTGCGATGTGATTGGAAGGTAGGTGGAAGTATTCCGTGGCGAATTTATGCACAACCGGATCAATCTCCACGATTGTGGTCTCGATGCCGTGCGTAATCAACGCAGCGGGGGTGGTGCCTACCCCAAGTCCACTAAGAAAGTCCAGTTAGCCGACTGCCTTGCCTCCACAAATTGGCGTCGTGATATGGTTCCTTACATGACGAGAGCCTTGCTGTTCGCGTCCACGCGCGCCTCGCCGTGGTCGGTTTCGATCAAACGGATGGCTTCGAGCATAGCAAACACAGCGTAGATGGGGTCCTTGACCTCGGGATGGTAATTGCGCGGCATCTTTGTCCATTGACCACCAAGAAGACTATGATCACACCGCATCACTCGGAAGCCATCTTCCAAGTTCTCCAAAACAGATATGTACCCGGTGGAAGAATCCTGTCTAGCGAGAAGTTCATAGCCTTCCACTTGAATAGCAGAGTTCAAAGCGGCAGTTGTGCGGCCGAAGGGCATGTGCACATTAGACGTGAGAGAGAAGAGAATAGATGGAACCGCTAATACAAGCCATTTAGATGGGATGGTAGCCGAATACAAGCTCGCAATCAGTAATTGAAGGCCGCCACGGCTCAGAAAGAAGGTCAAGCCAATGAACTTCGAGATAAACGCTTCTGAGAAATATTCTCCTGCGGAGTAGATAACATAGGATCCGAGAAGGGGAATATGCTCTGTCATAAGGTCTCCATGCTGGCTCATGTTCAGGCCCGCCTGCAATAGTTTCCCGGCGCAAGCCACAGAAAGGAGTACCAGAGGGTAAAAGGTAAATATATCAATAATTAGCGGGCCAGTTGGATTTCCGAAAGATGAGCTCTGGTGAAACATGAAGTACTGGATGGTCGGCACCCAGAATGCGAGAACGGGGACCAAATATACTGCTCTGCGACCAGACAGCCGATGGATCACGTCCTTCAAGAACCAGCCAGCAGCGGCACTGACAGCTACTCCATACCCGTGAAAGATATGGGAAGGCGCAGAGCCAAAAACCGGAGACAGTGTCAAGAGAAAGACAGGGGAATAGAAAGCAGTGAGGAACAGCAATGCTACACTTGGCAGAAGCTTTTCAAGCTTGACTTGCTGGAGCATCCCTCCGGGAGAAGACATGATGTCGAGCTTTCAACGTGTCTGTTTCGGCTCTGTATCCAACTGTCGATGTAATCAGCTGCGGCTAGTCTGCAAGGGTTCAACGTAAGAGCCTGGCTATTTCAATATGATAGCATCGCGCTCGACCTCGAACAGTAAAAGATGCGAACAAGACACCACCGATAGGAGATGGCAGCCCAAAAGGAAAAGAAGAGGCCCAGTGTAAGGACCAAAATGGCAAATATGAAACAAAAAGGAGTAGATAGCTCTTACATGACCTCTTTTCAGATAGAATGCCGAATATCCATCGTCTGGCCGTCTGTGGGCTGTTATTCGCTGCTGGACTGATGGCGGCGGAGACGAAGGGAATTTGCCCGCCCGCAACGTTCCGCAGTGCTTCTTGGGAATTACTCGAACTGGTTAGTCTCAAAACAGCTGTTGGTGGCTCTTTTGGCTCTTTCAACACCACTTCGTCATCTTGATTTCTCTTTCTCACATATGTTAGTCACCGATCGTTCGTTTGCATGCAGACATGCCTCACTTCCCCAAGGGTACTGGATTCGAGATGGAGTCAGACGACGCACAGCGGAACATCAAGTCCAGCTCAGTGCAACCGTCCCCTGCCATGAGAGTGAAAAACCGTCGCAAGCGCTATCTGGACATGCATCCGGAGTACTTCTCCGCTGATCTCGAGCTCGCCGGTCCGCTTGCTCTATCCTCGTTTTGATTAAGAGACTGATGGCTTCTTTGGATAAGAGGCTTCGTATGCTAATATTCAGCTCCTGTAGACCCGTTGCTATACGATCGACTAATCCGCCGGTTCCAAACACCTGCAGAAAGAGAAGCCGAAGGGAGAGCGAAAGGGTTCTCCGGTATTCTTCAAGCGGACTTGCAACGCTCGGAGGCCAAGCTTGATGCTCTCCATAATCCCAACCCCAATGCGATGTTCAGCTATAGTCGTGGTCCAAGCGGTGAGATCATTGCGGAGGACGCGGACGAGATACCCACAAGTAAAGAGGAAGCTGAAAAGCTTTGGCGCTGGGAAATGACGCTGCGCTTTCTGAAAGGGGAGGACTGTGACTTTGACTATACGCAAGTTGACGAGAATGACGAATATGATGATCGGACTGAGGAGCAGGAACGTTACTTTGACGACGAAGAGCCTGAATGGATGGTTGAGGGGGCTGACGATGGGAATATCAAGTCCCGCTTGCAGGGAGAGACAGGCATACAGGATTTTTGAACGGTTAATGACCCTGATTTGCCCTCTCTGACGATGAAGTTCGAGCATTCAGGCGGGTTTTCGATCAACCAAAGAGCGAAATCGCCAGGCTTAGTGATTCCCACATCCGTGTGCGCCGCGCAAGGCTGGCAGTCATTCAAGCTGCAAGCAATGGAATGCGCTTCTAGCAGTTTACAGCTTCTTGTATCAGTACCGCCGGAACAGCGGTGACGGCCAGGAAAGCTGCCCCTGAATGCATGGTATGGGTATTCTATTCCCAAACGGAATGCTATAATCGCATCTAAGGGATTGCTGTTGGTTGTCGATACCTGGACTCGGCCAGTCGGAAAATGCCGAGACCTTTTTACCTGCCCATAGGCAATTGGTAAGACCAGCGGATGGTTGATTGCTTGCTTATTATGAATGCCTCAATTTACTGGACTTTGATCGTGCTCTGATCAGTGGACAAGAATTCGTCGTCTCGACAAAGATCATACACGGCGCCTTACCCTCGCTGACTCAACCTACCTACTCCATGCTTCATCGAGTCAGGTAGGAAGATATCCGACTTAAGCGCTTCCTAGAAAGCGACCGATATTGCGCTATATTCACACATTCTGTCAATATATGCCGAATAGTCAGTCATGTATCTCTGATGAGGAAATGCGAGCATAATGTCGTGATGTCGTGCCTTAGGCAAGCAATATGACTCCCAAGTGTCGCTGCAATGATGAAATAACGTCCTAGAGTCGGCGGCACGACTTCGCCTACCCTCACCCCATCCATCTTACTCTTTTCCTCTCCTTCCTCACCTCTTTCTCTCTCGCAGTTCCCTTCGCGCTTTCCTGATCATCCAAAGAACAAGACTTCGCTACATTATACTTTAATACATTTATTCAAGTCATACCCTTATCAGTCTGCTACTCCTTGTTCCTTTTCTTGAGCAACTACAGTACAGACCATGACTCAGTCTGAGGGTTTCTCACCTTCTGGCAGAGAAGTGACGCAAGGGCATGAGCCAGGCTACTATTACCCCTTTTGTTCTGAAGAGTCAAGTCAACAGATCATAGCAGGGGGTATCCATGCTGGACGCTCTGAAAGTAGCACCGAAACAAACAGCTTTAATTGCAGAGTTCGGGCCTATAAGCAGTCTGACGACGTGCCATGCGACTCGAATGAAGCCGGACCTTCGGGGAAGGAAAGAAGCTCCTTGGCCATCGATACATTGAAGAATGCGAAGACGGGGACCACATCCTCGACATCACCTCAGTCGGTTTTCAGCTGTCCTCGGCCCCATTCATCATCTTCGTCATTTAGTAATCCGACTCCCAAGCAAGCGCCGCTCAACCTCGCCTCTATGTCACTCAGATGTCTATTTCGTCGTTTAGACACTAAAGTTGATGAAGTACACAAGCCGGCTATGCAGTCTGCCCTCAACATGTCCACCAAGAACGACACCAATAGTATGCAAAATCTTCATCCCTCGAATTTGTGCGGCCACTTGAGACTATGTCATGCGAGTATCTAACACATCTTCAATCTAGGCGTCAACGAACCATTTGAGTCATCATCTTCGGGCGTAGTTAAGGAGACAGGTCGTCGCCTTGCTTCTCGCTCAGACAGTTCTCTGGTGCTCACTAAATCTCGCACATGGGGCACCATCCCTGTCCACTTCGAGATACCGGACTTTTCAATTCCAGTGGACGGGAAAGGCAAGTCTGCACTTGCAGATGCAGCTCTTCCCGAGGCTTTCACGGTTGATAGCTGCAAACTTGGTGACGAATTTGTCGACACCAGCATCATTCCTGGCCTGCGGGGCAAGGTCATTGGTAAAGGTGTCACAGCTACTGTCAAATTAATGCACGGGAAAGGGACCGGAAAGCAGCACTATTATGCGGTGAAGGAATTCCGCAGAAGTCGCAAGGAGAGCCTGCAAGCTTACGACAGAAAGGTCAAACTCGAGTTCAGCATCGCCAGGAACTTGCATCATCCTAATGTCGTGGAGACTGTTCGTCTTTGCTCCCACGCTGGCCGTTGGTCTCATGTTATGGAATACTGCAGTCAAGGGGACTTGTTTGCAATCGTGCAACAACGATATCTTTCGTTTGAAAGTCAACTGTGCCTGTTCAAACAACTCTTCCAAGGCGTTGCATATTTACATAGCATTGGAATTGCGCACCGCGATATCAAACTGGAAAACTTGCTCTTGACGGGAGACAGTCGCTTAAAGATCACCGACTTCGGATGCGCCAAAGTCTTCAGTGAGCTCCGCCGAGATCTGCGGTCAAATGACGGGGGATGCGCGGAATTATTTGGTAAGATTCGCAAATGTGGCCCTGGTGTTTGTGGCAGCCTGCCATATATTGCACCGGAAGTTCTGGCAGAAGACCGTAAGTGCCCCTGCGATCCCTATGCTACCTTATGTTATGGTCTCCTAACCGTCGTCCGATCCCCAGGAAGCTACGACCCGCGCTTGGTTGACATATGGTCTTGTGCCATCGTTTGCCTTGCCATGATTCACTGCGGTACGCCGTGGGGCGCGGCAGAAGAAAAGGACGCCGGGTATTCTCGCTATCTCAAATGGTGGGAAGAGTTCTTGAGAAGCGAGCCGGACCGAACTATCACAGGGGATGTATATCCTAAAATCGGGAAATTCTTCTCGGATCTTCGCACAAAACCTCTTCTGCGTCTTATCTTACGGATGCTCCATCCTATCCCAGAGAGACGGGCTACCATTTGCGATGTGATGAATGATCGCTGGGTCAAGAGGATTGAATGTTGTTGCCCGGAACCAGGCAAGCCGTCTAATTGCTTTGAGGAATTTGATGGCATAGTTTATCGAAAGGTTCACAATCATTTGCCCCCGGCAAAGAAAGGTTTCTTCCAGCGCTATATCTAGCGCGATGCTTGCGTGTGTTATTCAAGCCTCTTTCTGCCGATTGTTCAGCCACCCCTGTTTACATGTAACTGATTTGAATATTGCCTTGGGACTGACTTTGCTTCGCCTGCATGTAATTGCTGCAATATTTTGAGAATGGCCACTTGCTTTGTCTCGGTACAGAGAAATTGCTATGGTTTGGATTTCAAGCATTATGTCACTATATCTGTAATGATACCCAGATTATTCGAGTTCTACTCAGCTCAGGACAGCCTCTATGATAGTCACGATGAGTGAGAAATGGCAAAGAAGATGTTCAATGCGAAAGATATGCTCCTGTAAGTCCTCTAGTGGAAAACAATCGTTATCACTCAAAAGGTTCTAGGAAAACCTCAGTCTCTCTCCATCGTCTAATTAGCATTGCTCTGCTCTTTCAAAATCTTGATGGCAGTCTCCTTCAGCTTGAACTTCTGAACTTTGCCGCTCGCAGTCTTGGGGAAAGAATCGGAATGTGAAAGGAAGAAAACATATCTCGGAACTATTAGCAGGATGGTTCTGGTTAGCATATCGAGGTATTAAGGATGTCTTGCCGCTAGGTGAAAAAGATAGGAGATGCTTACCGAGGTGGTTACTCAGTCGCTCGCGAACCCACTCTCTGATCTTGTCCTCGGTCACTGTCCTGCGATCCTGCTCTTTACAAATGATGAAAGCAGCCACCACTTCGCCGTATCTCTCGTCTGGAACACCGACAACGGACACATCGGCCACGCCGGGGCAGGTAAGGAGACAGTTCTCGATCTCTAGCGGGTGAATGTTCTCGCCTCCTCGGATGATGAGATCTTTGATACGGCCCGTGATCGTGATGTAGCCATCCGGTGACATGGAGGCTTCGTCTCCAGTCTATGGTCCTCGGTCAGACGT